GAGTGTGCCGAGGATCAAAAACAAGTCTGACAGGTGCTTTCTTCTTCCATCGCTGAGCATGCCCGATTCCCAAGCACCCGCTTCGATGGATGGAGAAAAGAAAGAACCGAGCTTGTCGTCATATCCCTCGGCTGTGAGTCCACATACGAGCTCGTCGCCGGCCGGCTCAATCTGACCTTCCCCCCCGTTACTGGTGACCACCGTACCCACCTCGGTGAGAGCCGCCAACCCAGTAGACAAACGGTGGTGTGACTCCTTGTGTATTTCGACGTCTCCTGCCTAGAATAGAAAAATCAAAAAGCAATTGAAAGATACCGTTGATGTGTGAGACAATATATATCTCTGAATTGCCTCATGTGGACAAAAGTCAGCCTTGAGTTGATTCACACGATGCCCGGTTGAATATCTTGTTTCTCTGGTGCCTTGGATACCGAATCCTCGAAACATGGTATCTAGCTTTCGCAAATCAATACCCCAAAACCTGTATCTACCAGGTAGTTTAGCCCAACAAAGTAGTCAAACAGATCCTCACCTTTACACTGTGCTTGAGAAGCCGGTCAAAGCCTTCAGGCCTAAGTTGATATGAGCGCATATATACGGCGAAATAGGACCACCGTGAGTGTGTGTGTCATGTGCGCGTAGTCACAGGGAGTCCGGCACATCCTGGAGACATATTCTCTGCTAAAGTAGCCTCGTCTACGACCACATACTTGCGCTGATAATGATACTAATGGTCATGATTGAGAGTTTGTCACTGATTTCACTCCTTATAGGGAAAGGATACCTGAACTACCCGTTACCTTACTATACGAATCGTAGCTTGTAAAAGTATAGAATGATACGGGCAGCTGGTGGACTGAGGGGAAATCTGTGCTTCGACGAACATGAGGTAAGTTGGAGGCTGTCACGGCTCGTCTAAAGGGTCATTATATAATGACCGCTCTGATGTGACCGCTGTCGCCATCGAAGAATGAGCAAGCTACGGAAAGGTGAAAGCCACTAGATGTAAGAACCCGGTTTCAGTAGTCTCAATACCTATACATCTACGAATGTTTTTAAATGGAGTCGAGTTGAGAAATCTTTAGAGGCATCCCAGCGAACGAGACCAAAGGAAGGGATAGTCGTCTTTCTGCGTTCATGTGGAATACAAATCAAGCACTCGTAGTTGTAATTGAGGAGACCAATGAGTGATCACCCATCTTTTAGATATCTCATACAAGATCTTGGTTGGTATGAGGCATCGAGCCACCAAAATGATCGATCGACTGCCTGGAATCTCAAAAGCTCGTTAGTTCACCGGCTGTCTGAAACCGAGTGCCCTGCATGGAAACCATCGCGAAGGTTATTCCACAGGTGCTTCTCGATGACGAAGTTCACTCTATGGAAGAGGCGTGGTTCTGGTCCATAGCCTGGTAAAAAGGGCTTACATTTTGCCTTGCTGTCAGCTGAAGAAGCACGCCAAACTCATGTTCTGTGATATAGGAACCAGGACAGGAAGCCCTCTTCGAGATAAACTGGTGTTGGTCAGTGAGTCGTTGGTTCTAGACCTGTTCTGCAATGTAAGGGTCATTCATATAACCAAGAAAAATGTGCAGAAATTCCTTCAATGATGAATTTTTTTATCTCAAATCAACATTTCGTATCATTGCAATAGGATGTATCCTGCTGTGATGGTATCTGGATTCAGCTAACAGCTGGCCAGCCTCTATTTAGAGAGCTATTGACGATTCTGAGCACCAGTGGACGCTTTTCTGCAGAGACAACCGACATGGTCGAATGGTGCCTTGCCTGGCTCCTTGATCGTAATCTGATTCGGGCAGGTTTGATTTACTAGATAGCTGAGAGCGAGCAAGGTTTTTACATCTCTTAACCCCGTCATTCATACTGCGTTGGGTATGTTCCCCGTTGTATCTCTTCCACTGGTCATGAGACGGTGGAGGAAATACTCACTTAAGGGAGCCAAGACGTGATATGGTGTCTATCTGTTGCATTTGTCCGTCTGCAACTTCACTCTACAATCTACTTATCAATGATGAGCTTGGAATGCGCATCGTAATGACATGTAATTTCATTTGCGAGCCCTTTTCTGCCCTCATTTTCCAACACTAGGGGATGGCCTTTCGTTGAGGTTGAGACATGGATGATCAAGAGAGCAGAGAACCAGAATCGAAGAGTACATTGGCGGAGTGTAAACAGATGAGTCACAGAGTACCTACCATTGAAAGGCCATTGGAAGGCATTAAGGGCCATGACAACGGACCTTCCACGTACATATGAGTCTTAAACCCTGCGAGGGAATGGCGGGCTATTCCCACAACTTCCCCCGTCAACATACATAAAATGCACAGTCCAATACCATATTAATGAGCTTCGTATCAGCCGAAAGGCTTCCCACGCCGACGCGTATACCAACATCTAGAGACTCAAGAAAGACATGAAGGATGTTTACTAGGAAAGATCAGACTGCTCGCGGAGATGGTCTCCCTTTTCTGAAGGGCATAGCCCCCAAAGTCTGAGTACTAAGTATGTACGCACTCCAGTTGTGAGGATGACAGCAGAGGTGGTCTCATGGATCGCCCATTGAACAGTACCGTTACAATGCGAATGTGTCTTTCAGACTCGTCTTCGGTGATAGTAAGATCGGCTGACCTGCTTACTCGGAAGAGGGGAGCGTTGGCGTGCGACAGAGGCCAACTTGGGCTGTGCTCTAAGGGAAGGAGCAGCTACTGGCCCAAGACATCTGTAGTGTGGAATACCAGCAGTCAATATAAATGTAATAGGCCCTTTCTTCCCCGTCCTGCATCCGAGCAATTAACGTCGAACTTCATCTCCTCCTGACGGTCTCTGCTAGAAGACGTATTCTAGCCTGAAAAGCCCACTTTGCTACCATACCCACTCTGCTACCATGGTGGGCCAAGAAGATATGGGAAGAAGAGACGTATTTACCGCCAAGTCAACATAAGCTACTGCAGTATGTACGCGGGAGTGAGCTTTTCGGGAAAGTGCTACCCAATTCATCGGTAGTCAACCAACGTGGTGAAAGCATCGTCTTGTGCCGCTCCAATGTTGACACTGAAGAGAGACACTAAAAAGAATGCTATGACAGATCTAGGATGAGAAGACGCTTATACCCAGCAGCAAGTCCAGCGAGCATCAATGTCATTCTCGGCAGTACTGCTTTATTCATCTAGTCTTGGTTTGGCCGCAGAAAGCCAGATCATTTTCACTTCATACACTGCTCGAATCATGGTCAGCTGACCAGGTGCACCGCACAAGTTCGTTGCAGACAACGGCATCGAGCTCATGTCCTACGCATATTTTGTGGAGACCACGTCCTAAAAAGACGGCCGACAGATCCTACTTCGCCATGAGCTCCAATAGCGGTCCGACTTTTCGAGATACCGTGTGATCCGGTCGTCGAATGGGGTTACCGAATGAACGGTTCGCAAGTGACATTCCAGCATTGATAGTTACCACAAGAGGTGGTCACCCCATTCGGGCGAGTGAAAGACAAACTGGAGCCGCGCTGAACCACTCGCCACGTGGCCTGGGAGGAGTCTGCTAGAATGAAACCCTGCTTGCATCTCACTTGGAGTGTTCGAGATTCAGCGACCCGAAGTTCTGGTTCGGAGGATGGTGGTACCGAGGGGGAGGCTACTTGAATGTGACAGACAGTTTTGGCGCCGACACATGGTAGCCTTCGATGAGACGTACATAGCTTATGAGCTGAGATGGCTTGACTACACCTCGATCCGTTCAAATTACAACAGAGAACGAGTGTACGGGATGGAGTTTGAGCTACAGGCTGACATGGATAGAACAGAGAACAGAGAACTAAGTACGCCAAGGTAGACCGTATAAGCGACACAAGAAGTTACTAGCCTCGAGCTGCAGTAATAGGTTCATGGAGAACACATAGTCTAGTTTATGGATGGGTCTGGCCAAGTTCCTGTGAGGTCGCGTGTTGAAGATGTCGATTGTGGCTTGCGTGTCTTCAAAGATTGGATGTACGAAGCATCTTTCTTTGAGATATCCGCATAGAACATTGCATCAGCAGTAGTTGTGACAGCTCCACGTGCCACACAGCTGACTTTTACTTCTGCAATCCGGGGTGTCCCAGGACGTTGGCAGATGTATGTGTGTGTGTGTGTGTGTGTGTGGCTTGCTTTAGGCCAAGATTGCTTCCCGGGGTGGTGTGGGTGATGCGTGCCAATCAGAGACGGTTGCGCAAATGGCATTGTTTAGTTTCATTTGGTCTTTTTTACGGCAAAATTGCGAACTGTTCGTTTAGACTTTTTATATTGATATAACCATGGGGTCTCTATATTGTCCGTGGAAGAAAGATACATGTGGACGGGAAGAATGAATTGTAGCCATATGTTTAGATCACAGGCAGTTAAGCACAAACTTAGGAGTAAGAGGAACTACGATTGATCACAATAACAGCGAGGATAGGTTTGGATCTGTGAATAGTTCATAAGTGACGGAAGGGAGAAGGTGCCTCGGAAATGCCGTCACGGAGGCATCCTTTGACCTGCGTGTCTAGGAGTAAGATACTACGGGATACCCTGACCTTGCCAGGCAACTCGTGACGGATTGTTGGTGCAGCTGCAGCATCGGCCAGAAAAAGCTTGACTTTGATCAGAGAGGAGAAGTTGAATATCGAGTGGCGCAGAGCGGGGAAGCAGGGAGAAACATCTGGGGAAGTGGCACTAAAACCCCGCACCTCAATTTCCCCGGCAAACTTGAACCGTTCGCAGCCCACTGTGATGAAGACCAGGAAGCCATCCACATCCGTAGAAACTGCAGAATACCTTGGACCGTACTCGGGTCATCGGGATAATGCGCACGCGCGCCAATGAAACACGCATAAACGCCTTTCCCGACACCGAGCCGTCCCCTGTTTCTCCATTCTCTCTCCCCCAACTCCCCACCCCCCGGCATCCATCGACCATGGGGGGAATCTCTCCTCTTCCCCCAAGTTTTTCCCAAGTTCCCAACGTCGTCATCGCGTCCGGTCCGGCAGCCATACCCCGGACTTTGTGTGTCTTCTCTTCCTCATTGCTGTTGGAACATCAATCCAACCCACCAATCCCAGAAGGAACTTTTGGCCCATTGTCCTAGCCGGCCCTGTTCCTGAAAGCTACCCAAGCATCAAAGGCAGCCAACCACGCGCCAATTGTACCCCGCTCGTCCCATTGGAGAGGGTATCATCGCCGCCATTCTCGACCTCACCATCGGCCCAGCCTCGCCCTGCCCTGCTGCTTGTCCGGAGCTGGCTCCCCTGCACCTCACCTCAATTCATGAGCAATTGGATTACCTAGCACATCTACGGAGTAGCTAGCTACCTTACACGGATACGCCTACCTTGGGACTTGCTCCGCACGCTCATACCCCGGCTTCCTGCATCTCGGCTCGCCCAACGTTACTTGCCATTGACCGCGAAAGAAAAAGCTTTCTCACGCTACGACTAGCTAACTAGTCAGTCATTAGCTCGGCCCAGCTTGTTTTGTTTGTCTTCTTCTTGCCGGGGCCAACCACCAAGCACCAAGCACCAGACAAGCGAAAGGATTCCACCACCACATGTTCGTCTAGACGCTCCAGTAACATCATGCCGTCGCATCCAATCCGTTGATCGGCCCTTGCTACTGCTTCTTTCTGGTCTCGTCCTTCTCTTCTTCCCACGCGTCCGGGATACGGTGTACCTCTCCCCGACCCGTCATCCCCCTCACCCCAGAGTAGAGTGGAGCTGGTTCTCTGCACTCTGCGGCCCTGCTCTGCCATCCTCGAGCTGCATAACGTAGCTTCGTTGGTCCGATGATCAGAATCGTCCCATTCGTACTGCCATGTGCAAGTCTCTCCGCTCCTCCCGCATGAGGGGAGGAGCACCATTGCCATTGGGATATAAGCTCCCGCTTCATCCCACCTTCCCCTCTCACAGGCTCTGCTGTCCGTCCTCCCGTCATCATCCTCTGCTCTGGTCCGCCGTCCTCTGTGCTTCAATCCTCTGTTACCTTGCCTGGCACACCTACACGATGCGCTCAACATTCCTCCCCGTCGCCGTCGGAGCTCTGCTCGCCCCGGCCACCTCCCTCGCCCAGTTCGTTGGCGGATCCGGTGGTAACACCACGGCTCCCTCCTCGCTGGGTCCTGACAAGGACGGCAAGTACTGGATCTCCAGCGAACACATCAAGGCCGCCTTCATTCCCTACGGTGCCTCCGTCTCCGACTTCATCATCAACGACAAGTACGGCATCCCCCGCGACATTGTTGCTGGCTGGGACAACGCCACCTACTACGAGACGGATCGCCAGCACCCCCATTTCGGTGGTGTTCCTGGTCGCTACGCGAACCGTATCAAGAACGGCACCTTTGAGATTGATGGTGAGAAATACCAGATCGATCTCAACGACAACAATGGCCTCGACACCCTCCACGGAGGCTCTGATGGATGGGACTGGCGCAACTTCACCATTGTCTCCCACACCAACAACAGCATCACCTTCTCCTTCACCGACCCCGACGGAAAGGAGGGTTTCCCCGGCGAAGTCGTGTCGCTCATCACCTACACCCTCAACGGCTGGAACTGGGATTTCAAGATGATCGCCGTCCCCACCACCAAGAAGACGCCCATCATGCTCAGCTCTCACACCTACTGGAACCTCGACGGCTTCTCCAACAACGAGACCAGCTTGGCTCTCAACCACACCCTTCACATGCCCTACAATGGCCAGAGAGTGGGCGTTGACAACATTCTCATCCCCACCGGTGAGATCCTTGCCAACGAGAAGGGCTCCGTCAACGACTTCTGGAGCGCGCCCAAGCAGATTGGTGCCGACTTCTCCAAGCCCGAGCTCAAGAACAACTGCGGTTTCAATTGCACTGGCTATGGTAAGCATTGACCGATTCATCGTAGACTGCACACATGAAAGCTAACCACACAAATATAGACAACTGCTGGATCGTCAACCGCAACGACCTGGGCCCCTACAACTGGCGCACCGAGGGCTACGTCGCCCGCATGCAGTCCGAGTGGTCCGGTATCCAGCTCGAGGTCTACACCGACCAGGACGCCTTCCAGATGTACAGCTGCAGTCAGCAGAACGGCTCCGTGGCCCTCAAGAAGAGCCAGGGTCTCTTTGACGACGCCAAGTTCCCCCGCATCATCCCCAAGTACGGCTGCGTCGTGCTCGAGGTCCAGGACTGGATCGACGGCATCAACAACCCCGCCTGGGGCCGCACCAAGAAGCAGATCTACGAGCCCGGCGGTGACCCGTACGTCCTCCAGGCCAGCTACCGCTTCAGCATCAACTCCACTTCCAGTTCGTAGGAGGACTGCGATTGAGTGATGTTTTGGGAGAGTATACTGGGAGGGGGGGATGCGTGAACAAAGCAGGATATTCTATTCACCTTCACATATTTAATGATACCATGAAGAGGTGATTTAACATGAATGGCGGAATATCCGTCTGGATTAATGAACTTTATCGTAATCTACCCGATCGACCCGTTGATTGTGTCTTATGTATGAACCGTTGCTGTAGCGAGGCCTCACCTCGATAACACCATGCTACTACTAACCCCCAATTCAAAGCCCATATACTACCCTTCATGCTGCTACCAAACTGCCGCATCAACAACACCAGGCCCTTTAATACCACTCATCACCCCCATACCCACCATCCAACTTCCCCTCCTCCTCCAACAACCCCAACTTCTCCCTCACCCTCGCAACCATGGCCTTTCCGTACTCTGGCCCGGGAGGCGGCGCAGCTTTACTCCCGTCGTGCCTCAGCCACGGAACCTTTCTCGATGCAGCAGCAGCCCCTTGCTCGACGACGGCGTTCTGAAGGGACTTCACGGCCTCCTCGTCGAATGCGCCGCCCAGGACGATGGCGCGTGGGGAAGAGGCGTAGTTTCCGCTGCCGATTGTGCTTGTGTCTGGGTGCTGCGGCGGCGGAGAAGACGTCAGGAGGGCTGGGATGATGAGGGCTCCTGAGGCGGGGGTGGTGATGAAGTGGATTACTGCGTTGGGGTTTGTGAGCTTACTTCTTCAGGACTCTCTCATCAATTCAGTCTCATAACTCGATCTCTCACTCCTTTTTTTTCCCTTCTTTTTTTGTCCAATTCCGGGGGGTTGGAATGCGGTGTCTTGGGAGCTTACCTTCATATTCCGGCTTCAGGCCCTCGATGACGCCGCGACCAATCGCCTCCGTCTTACCGCATAGAATGATCGGTATCGGACCGGATGAGCCCCTGTGATCACCTTCTGTTGCTTTAGGCTTCTTGTTGTCGAGCATCTCGCGCAACGAGGGCTGCTGACGCCGCTCTTCGTCTGATTGGTTTAGGGCGTCTTGTTTCGCCTTGTGAGACCAGAGTTGCATAGTTGGGGGGGAACAGAACAAAGTGCACTTGATACGATTGGGCCAGAAAAACAAAGGGTGCGGATGTGTCTGGGACTTGGAGATTTGGTCTCAGGTTTTTAAGAGAGGGGGGGGGGAGCTTTCTTCAATATGTGAGGTTTTGCTTTCTCGTGGTGGTGTGGTTTCTGTTGTCTCACGTCAGACTTTGGGGTAGGTACTTCGGTAGTTTGATCCTACCGCGTTGTACCGTTCGGATCCGGATCCGGGGGCTAGTGAAAGCCGACGTCATTTTACGAGTAGTGCCTTGACGGCCGGAATATATAGACGGGGGAAAAGGTAAGGTAAGCGGGCTCTTTCGGGTATGATTATAATCCGTCACTTTGCAGGTAGTGTGTAGCATATGAGATGACTTGGTTACAGCAGTTTTCATCTGTCAGGATACTCTCTTTCGTTGCAATTTAGTGGTGACTCAACAGAGATGAATGCAGACTACGAATGAAGTGTGTCAAATATGTGCATTATGTGTCTTGATATCGTGAAAAAGAGAGTGCACTAACTCGCTGGACGACTTTTACTGCAAAAGAAAGACCAGATCCACGACATGAAAATTGACGCAAGCCGAATCCATTCTCAATTCATTACCCATGATTTCGAACTCACTCTTTAGTTGGCAAGCCCGTTCTGCGCAAGGAAGTCCTGGATCTTGCTGGTGACCTCGACGTGAGAGTAGCTCTGTGATAACTCGCGTTAGAAATCTTCTCAAAATCATTTCAACTTGACAGATAAAGACTTACGAATGCCAGACCATGGCCAGCGTCGGGAACAACGTAAGCCTCAAAAGCGCTCGCGTTCTTGATCAGCGGCGCAACCCCAGCCGGAATCGAGGGTAGCTTAGGGTTGCCTGTTGCAAGACAATCACCACCGCAGAAAGGAACGTCGCGTTCTAAAGGTCCAAATCGTTAGCTTACAATGGGCTCTCCTTCCTATATCAACTGGAACACGCTTCCGCGTGTGCTCTCAAGACTTACCACCCGTAATAACAAGAACAGGCTTCGTGAACCCGCTCGTCGTGCCAGCCTCGCCGCCAATCGTGAGCAGCTCACCCACAGTCACCGGCTTGCCCGTCTTATACGCCGCCGTCAAAATGGCAGGGTCAAAGTTATCCGGCGCGAAAAAGTTGATGTGCGCGCCGCCCTCGTACGCAGGCGCAAAGTAGCCATCAACATAGTCGCTCAGCGCGGGGATCTGGTTCGCCTGGATGAAGGCGCCGCCCAGCAAGAAATCCGGGAGGAAGGTGGCGTTGGCGGAGAACCCCGTCAGTACCAGACCGTCCGAGGCGTCCGGGTACATGGCGGACAGCGCGTACGAGTGGACGGAGCCGAAGGAGTGGCCGACGTGGACGTACTTGTCGAACGTGCAGGGGACGCCCGGGACGGCGCCCGCGCGGAGCTTGTCCGTCAAGGCTTTGAGGGCGGCGAGCTCGAGGAAGCCCTGGATCTCGTTGACGGGTTCACCACGGGAGGACTGGGCGATGCCGAGGCGGTCCCAGGCGAAGGTGGAGTAGCCGTAGTCGTCGACGGCGGGGCCGACGTAGCTGTAGTTGTAGTTGTTGGCGGGGAAGTCCCAGTAGCTCCTGTCGAAGCCGATACCGTGGGTGAGGATCTGGAGGACGGAGCCCGGGCCGGAGTCTGGTTGGCAGTAGGTTGAGGCGAGGTGGTATGTGCCTCCGACCGTTGCGTACTAGACAATGGACATATCATGTTAGCATCGGGTAATGTCTTTTGGTGTGTACTGTGAGCTATGGATGATGGGGGAGCCCTTACATCTGTGAGATGGGTTGCGGAGAAGTTGTTGCCCTGCTGTGCCAGGCCTAGCATAATATTTGTGACATCAATGTTTGTCTTTGGTGTTGAGACATTGAAGACGCCGTTCCGTGATGAGATTGTAACTTCGACTGTGAGATTCTGGCACGACTTGGCCGCGGCAAGGGTCGCAAAAGCAACCGGGAGGGTTGCTGAAACTAGCTTGACCATTTCGACGTTTGAAGATGAAAGTTGTGAGACTGTATAGACGGAGTGTAAGGGGGCGTCTTAGATTGAGTTGTCTTGGATCATGTCTAATAGCAAAGGGAATGTGGACCAAGCCAGACTGTTATACTTATACACTGGCAAACTGAATTGTCCTAATGCCAACATCTTTCCGGGTATAACTCCATCCGCAACGGGAGGCTGCGACTGTACGAGTGGAAAATCCTCATTTGCTCTCGCCCGCATGCCCGTCCACCCAGCAAGGTCGCTTCGATTATGACCAGCACCATTTCCATCCACCTGGCACCTGCAGCCATGATGTCAGCAGAGTAATTGTAATTCTAGAACTACACTAGCGAGCCGCAACTCGCATGAAAATATGGTGGCGTTCAGAGCACGCATAGCCGCCCAAGCAAAAGCCGACTTTGGCTACGTAAGCCTACCTAGCGAAGCGAGTTCGCGCGCGAGATCCCCTCGATCTTTCCAGTCCTTCTTTGGAGCTTCCGGGGGTTAGCTCGATGTGCCGAGCTAAGGCAAGAAAGTAATAGATAGCGTGGCGTGGTTGCGATGTGTAAGGTACCGTACCCTCTTGGGGTGCTTCTTCCTTTTCGATCCACCAAAAACGTTTGCTCATCCACGACCGGAGTCACGGAGTTGATGCATCCCATGGGCCGGAGCCCAGTCCGGCTCACCGCTAGGCCCCATGCACCGTTTCCGAAAGGGGCGTTAGAGGCATCAGAGCCAGGTCCAAAAAGAGACCTGCATTCAAAAAAGTCTTTGATTGTCCCCCAATCATGTTTGCCGCCGATCTCAATTGAGTTGTTGGAGCGGAGTTAGGTGTTACATCCAGATACACACGGCAGAGAAGACTTGATGTGTGTGGGAGAGAGAGAGAGAGAAAGAGCCCCCAGTCCCAACTCGTTCTACGTTCGTCTTAGCGGCAGCCCCAACCGAACGCCATCGATGTCAAGACATTGCGATCCCCGCCCCATGTTTGCCGGTCCTGTCTCCACATGAGCTTACGGATAGGTCCAAACCATGCAAACAATGGGCAAGGGTGTGGATGAGAGAAGGTCCAAGGAGAAGAAGCTTATGCAGAAGCTTCAGTCATCCGTTTTTTCCCTCCTCACCGGGGGTCATTTTTCTCTCTCTCAAGCTTGGAGTATTTGTCAGTCATGTTGGAATCAAATAGTGTTATGTATGTCTGATGCCAACCATCCACGTTGGTGGTCCACCGCCTTCGCCTCCCAGCCTCCCCATCGCCATAGGTACCCATCTTCGGTCAAAGGCAAACGATGATAAGCGCCCGTAGATGGTGCTATGCAAGTAAGTGTAGGTATTTGTAAAACACATGGTGCCGAATTTTGCGCCACGACGCCACCACCGAGTCGATTTAGCTTCTTGGAGCGGAAACGGCTACTAAGCATGGCACATACGGGGTTAGCAAGCAAGGCAGATTCAGAATCCCATTGAAATGGAATACTTACCTATCTCACCTTCGGTACGATGTGATAGCCCATCACCGTGACGTGACATCGAAGAAGGTGACGAGTCCAAGATACACAGCCTCTCACACACAATCACAATCTTTTGCACACCTCCCACTGATTCCAAACGAATTGCTGGGACCTGGCTGATTCAGCGGACGGCTCGGTTACAATCTCACGAGTGAGGTCGCCGCTTGCGTACACCTTGACGAATGAGAGTCCCATGTGCCATCCGAGAGAGCCCCGAGACATGCATTGTTCGCGTACCGTGATGGGCTTGCTGCCGGCGGTCGCTTACTCACATTGTCCTCTCACTAACCATTTCTCGGGGAAGGCTGGTCCGTGAAAATCCTTATGTATACTGGCAAACGATTTGTATTTGACGATTCTCAGTAAATCCTCCTGTTTGAGGACTAGACTCTGAGCGGACCTTTCTTACTGCCCGTCTCCCAAGCGACTGAGGAAAAGAGTCCTTTGATCCTTTCTCTTGGATATGTAGGCTCGGTCGTCTGGCATCTTCGTGGCCCAACTGGTGTGGCCGCCCATTTTTTTTAACCCTCCTTAAAGATACTACTATGCAGACCGACCGCGATCCCATATCCATGCTGTCTGCGTAACGCCATGCTAATCATAAAAGTACAAAACTGATGTCGACTTCGACTTTTCGATTGGTTTTTCATCGCCCTTCCTCTATTTGGGCTCTGACGTATCCAGCTTATCATACGCCGCCTGCATGGCTCTCAGTTCGATTTCGTCACCCTCCAAGGCTGCCACCCAGTCTCGTACTTGGATGCCTTTGCCTTTTTCCTTATCCTCTCGCCAATTGCCAAGCCGTGCTCGGCCCTCGACGGTAAGCGCGTGGTTCGCCGGAGCAGGAGGACCCGAAGCGGCTGCAGCACCCGCCTTTCCGGGCGTGCCAAGTCTCGGCGTGCTGGCCCCACTGCCGCCTGTCATCCAAGAGTACGACTTGCCGCCTTTCTTCTTTCCGAAAAGCGATCCTGTCTTGGGCATGCCGACGAACATGCTACTCGTGATGTTTTGATTTGCATGGCTGCTAGCCTCTGCCTTCTTCACAGCATCAAGTTTCTTCTGTTCCTTCTTTGAGATGGCCTTCTCTGAGTCAGGTGCCGAACCGCCAGGAGTTCCAGGCGCAACGGATCCGGCACGTGATGGCGTCGATGCGACCTCTGCGGTTCCATCCTTTCGGGCGTTGCGCTTCCGTAGTCGTCTTTCCTCCCAGTCTCTCTCAGCCTTGCCTACTTCGCGGACTGTGTGACTCATGGTATTTGTAGCAGAGATCTTCTGCACCTTGCTCGCCTGGCTGGAAGTAGCATCTTCAAGAGGGCCTGAATAAGAGTCAGCATGTCATATTGGCACGGAACACGTGTACACGAACGTTTCTGAGCGCTCGGGCGAGGACTGGCGCCATTCTCAGTCGCACTCTGCTGAGTTCCATCCTCTGTTTGCGTCTCCGGCGCGCTTTTCAGTGGTGCCGCGGCCACTTGCCATTCCTCCGGGACTTCACCATGCGATGAAGTCTGCCGGTTTTTCGCAATTCGGTTGGAATCTTCCATGAGCGTTCTGAGCCGCTGCTTCGTAGCCAGCGACAGCAGTGCTAGCTGATCGACCAAGAAAGCCTCCTGAGGTATCCAGGTTCCTGTTGTTGTCACCATGGTCGAGTCCGGTCCTTTCTTAGTGGTTACCGTTACAGTAGGCGCGGGAAACTCTTCAGGAAGACGCATCCGCCCCATAGGCTGGTTGCTGTTCTTGGTCTCCAAGTTGAGTATCAGGCCTTGATCTCTGGCAAACTTCTCCGCTTTTCGGTAGACAACAGGGACTTGCAAGAAAGCGTTGTTCAACTCCATGGTCCTGGTCTGAGCCAGGCGCTTTGCGGATTCCTGCCATGCCTTCTCGGCTGCCTGTGCTACCAACTGGTTCTGGGTATCGGTGCCGGCTGGCTGAGCAGGCTGGTTCGCAGGACCCGCGCCGTAGAAGCTTCCCTTGTTGCCTTGGGGGTAGGGAGCGAAGCCGGTTCTTGATTCCGGGACATACAGCTCGGACAGGAACTGCTCTTCAGCTCGTAGATCGATGCCCGTGCCTGCCAGCGAATCCGTGACGTCGTATTCGTACTCTTTTTGTGGTCGATCAGGAGGTCTCGAAGGCGGACCCATCGCGCCGGGAGTCGAAGGCTGCTGCATGATGGGTGTACTAGGTGAATTATTGTTGCCGAGAGCCAGAGTGGCCGAGGTGTATTGCGGCAGAGTAGGCGGCGCCGGTGGCTGCGGGGTTGACACTTGCGGTGGAGGAGTCGGAGCTGATGGAAGGGCAAGAGCCGGGGTGGTATTGCCGTTTGTATGTTGGTATGGTCCCGTGTAGGTCGGCGTCGCGGCTTGCTGCTGCTGAGCGTTTGGAAAGACGGGAGATGCAGCAGAGGTTGCGGCGGTGGAAGGAGTGACCGGTGCGCCTGGGCTCGGTGCGTAGGGTGAAGTAGAATACGGCGATTCGGGTTGGGGAGTTGCGCCAGGGGAAAGTCGCGGTCTTTTATTAGGCGGAGGCGCAAAGCCGGCTTGCGTCGCAGCAGGAGATGATGTAGGTTGAGGAGGCGAGAATGCCCTCTGAGGCAGCTGAGGCTGGGGTTGAGCCATCTTGACAGCTGTTATTACAAGTAGTAGAGATAGTTTGCGATCGAACCGAGAGATTGGTCAGAAGCCGCTCGCTCTGGTGAAGCTCAGCAAGCTGGACAGCCTGAGCAATCCTCACGCGACTCTGCCCATCTGACGTGCCGGTCTAATCGGCCAAAGGGACAAAACTTCCAGATCGCGTCGGAATCGCAGGACGTAGTTTCGGTGACAGCGTGACGTTCGCGCGTGCGTGTTGCTCTGTCGTGTTGGTTGTCTGGTGATGATCGGAGCGACGGGTTACTGAGTAGATGGAAGCAGGAGCTGTCGCCAGAAAGAATTGAGGACCGCGTTCATTTAAAGTCACGTGACAGCGCAGCCTTGTCCCCGCCTAGGCGCAACATGGTCCAAGCGTTTAGGCTGGAGCTTGGTAGCGGACCAGACAGCTGCCGCCAACTTTTACGCGACCCTCCTGGCCCTGCGCGTTGCCGCTGACCTCCTGTCACTTGCAATTCAACTTCTCTGCTTCAGCCTGTGGCAGTATTGTCACCGCCTCACCAACGACCCATCTCGCGCCGACTCGTTTGCTACAGATGATCTAATCGGGAACTGACCGCCACCAATCGGTGCGATATTTACAAATACAGATTGATCGATTGTTTGCGACTTGCGACACTTGCGACACTTGCAGCTATGGCGTCAAAGAGAAAGGCTTCGGCCATGGCCGCCACCGTTTCTGAGGAACCGGTCGACCCTGCCGACGAGCTGATGTTTCTCTGTCTTGGAGGTGGCAACGAAGTCGGCAGGTCATGTCACATCATCCAATACAAGGGCAAGACAGTAATGGTACGAGCACAACCTGCCTTCGCTGTTTGAACAGGCAGGTACTAACTGCTGTTCCCATAGCTTGACGCTGGCCAACACCCAGCATACGATGGCCTTGCGGCGCTGCCTTTCTTCGACGACTTCGATCTCAGTACGGTCGATGTACTTCTAATCAGCCAGTAAGCTCCCCTTCCCCCTCCCATACGCTGTTGGATCACAGGGCAAGGCGGTGAACGAACTTGGAAACCAATATCTGGGATCATACCTCTCTCTGGCTCAGGAATAGCAAGTGCCTTTCGGCGACTCTCGCACCTGATGGAGCCCATTGCTACGCCTTTTATGCTATTTCATTCTTGTACACAGAAACAATACAAAGACTTCATTCTTCCCACCTGCCTTGCCTTGTCGTCCTCGCCGTTGTGATAGCTCTTGGCGTTGTCGCCCTAGAGTATTTGGTGTTGTATGACACTTTGGTGTTGAACATGCTAATAAGTGGCAGTTTCCACGTCGATCATGCGGCTTCATTGCCATACGTCTTATCAAAGACTAACTTCAGAGGCCGGGTCTTCATGACCCATCCCACAAAGGCCATCTATAAGTGGCTCATTCAAGACAGTGTCCGTGTTGGAAATACCTCGTCCAACCCAACGTCACAGCCAGTCTACACGGAAGCAGACCATCTTAACACTTTCCCTCAAATCGAGGCCATCGATTACCACACCACACACACCATTTCCTCCATCCGCATTACGCCCTATCCTGCTGGCCATGTCCTCGGAGCTGCCATGTTCCTCATCGAGATTGCGGGTCTCAAAATCTTCTTTACCGGAGACTACTCACGAGAGCAAGATAGACATTTGGTCTCAGCAGAAGTCCCCAAGGGCGTCAAGATCGATGTCCTGATCACGGAGTCGACCTATGGCATTGCCTCCCACGTACCCCGCCTGGAGCGCGAGCAGGCCTTGATGAAGTCCATTACCAGCATCCTTAACCGCGGAGGCAGGGTCTTGATGCCAGTGTTCGCCCTCGGCAGAGCCCAGGAGCTTCTGCTCATCCTGGACGAGTACTGGGGCAAGCATGCAGACTTCCAACGGTTCCCAATCTACTACGCCAGCAACCTCGCCAGAAAGTGTATGGTCGTCTATCAGACCTACGTCGGCGCCATGAACGACAACATCAAGCGTCTCTTCCGCGAGCGCATGGCCGAGGCCGAGGCATCCGGTGACGGCTCCGGCAAAGGCGGGCCCTGGGACTTCAAGTACATCCGCTCCCTCAAGAACCTCGACCGCTTCGACGACGTTGGGGGCTGCGTCATGCTTGCCAGTCCTGGTATGCTACAGAACGGTGTGAGTAGAGAACTTCTCGAGAGGTGGGCCCCCAACGACAAGAACGGCGTTATCATCACCGGTTACAGCGTCGAGGGCACCATGGCCAAGCAAATCATGCAGGAGCCCGATCAGATCCAGGCCGTCATGAGCCGGACGACAGCTGGTGCCCGACGCGGGCCCGGCGGGGAGAGCGAAAAGGTCTTCATCCCCCGTCGGTGCAGCGTTGCCGAGTACTCCTTTGCAGCTCACGTGGATGGCACGGAGAACCGTGAATTCATCGAGGAAGTTGCAGCTCCAGTGGTAGTAAGTGAACCCCTTTCCCCCCTTTCCTCCAAACCAAAACTCCAAGAAAGGAACAATGAGACTGACACCTGCCAAAGATTCTCGTCCACGGCGAGCAGCATAACATGATGCGTCTCAAATCCAAGCTCCTCTCCCTCAATGCAAGCAAGACGGCAAAAGTTAAGGTCTTTAGTCCCAAAAACTGCGAAGAGCTCCGCATCCCCTTCAAGCAGGACAAGACGGCCAAAGTCGTCGGCAAGCTCGCCACCATCCCTCCCCCGACATCCCTCTCCGACCCCACCTCCCTGCCGCAGCAGCTCGTCACCGGCGTCCTCGTCCAAAACGACTTCAAGCTCTCCCTCATGGCGCCCGAGGATCTACGAGAGTACGCCGGCCTCAACACCACCACCATCACCTGCAAGCAGCGCCTCCGCCTCACGGCCGCCGGCGTAGACCTCGTACGCTGGGGCCTCGAGGGCGTCTTTGGCAGCGTCGAGGAGCTCCCCGAGATGCGCAAGGGTCACCCGGCTCATGACAAGGCCCTTGATGGTGCTGCAGTCGCTAACGGCAACGGAAACGGCGCCGAGAAAAGCGAAGGCGATGATGTTGACCAGGAGATGGGCGAGGAGGCGGCCGACGAGGAAGTCGCCCGCCTCGTGGCCGCGTACCTGGTCATGGGCTGCGTCGCCGTGCGGTACCGCAGCGACGGAGAGGTCGAGCTCGAGTGGGAGGGCAACATGCTCAACGACGGTATTGCCGACGCTGTCATGGCTTGTCTGTTCTCCATCGAGAGCAGTCCCGCAGCAGTAAAACGTATGTCCCCCACTCCCCTTCTGTTGAATTGATTTTCAAGGTCTCCAGAAAACCATCTTACAATTCACTAACCACGTACATATACTCAGGCTCCGCGGCTTCCCACAGCCACGACCACGACCACGCCCCTAAACCCCTCCCCAAAAACCCCCACGCAAACGTCCCAGCCACAGAACGCCTCGAGCGCTTCCTCATGTTCCTCGAAGCTCAGTTCGGCGCCGACAACGTCAACCCCGTCGCCGAGCCCCGTCTCCCGCCGCAGCCCGAAGACGACGCCGCCGCAGCAGCCACAGCAAAGGCAATCAAGTCCGACGACGCCAGCGACGCGTCCATGGACGTGTCCGACGACGACGCGGAGGCGGAACAGGAGAAGAAGCTGGAGGCGCGGCGCCGCGCAGAGATTGAGCGCCTCATAAAGCTCGGCATCCCCGTGCCGGGGATTCGTATCAAGGTCGACAAGATGGAGGCTGTCGTCTGGTTGGAGGACCTGGAGGTGGAGTGCAGTCACAAGGCTTTCGCCGACCGTGTGAGACGTGTTTGCGAGCACGCCGCCGAGGTCACGGCACCGCTTTGGGGATAAGGGTTCTACGAGGTTTTTTCTCCATGTTGGATGCAGGGTGTTCATTTCACGGCGTTTTACACGCCATCATGTAGTATAACCACAACACTCACGACAGTCACAAGGGCAGCCTAGCACGTTTCAATACTTAATGCTCTAGTGCATTGAGCTATGTTACAGAGGGACTAAGGTTACAATGAAAAACAAAATGCAGTAAATGACATTCTCGAGAAACATCAAGCTGAAGGCTTTTAACCGAGGTACTCCTTCAGCTCCTCAGACTCTTCTAACGTCGTAGTGAAAGAGAACGGCTGGAAGGCCCAGCCGGCAAACTCTGCGAACTTGGAGAAGGACTCGACCCAAGCCAAACGAAGGGAGTGCAACATGGCACTGGTACCTTCCATCATGACCAAAATGGCAATAGCTAAGTGTGCTGTTAGTAGATGTGGAGAAGAGAGGGAAGTATCGCAACTTACTAAGGAAGAACCACATGTAGAAGACCACAACGATAGCGATAGAACCAAAGATGCCAGAGAAACCAAGGGCAGGTCCAAGGGTCATGGACCAAAGGACGGAACTGAGTTGTTGATGGGCAAGTGACAAGGCCCAGAGACGAAGGTACGAGGCTGTATGGGAAACGCAGTTCAAGCAGAATTCTGTAGTCATCGTTAGTTTCATTTTCATTTTAGGTGTTGGATTTCGTATTCCTTACCGATAGTGTGAATAACTTGGTGGATCATCACTTCGCTGAACTCGAATTCCTCGTGCTCGCCATCACCGTGCAGGTCCTGCGTGATCATAGCAACGCCTTCGCCATCAGACTCGAAGCTGGGGCGGCCGTTGAGTCCGTGGTCCTCATCATCGTCGCCGTCGAGGGCACTAACGCGAGAGCTCTCTCCAATGCCCCTATAACCCTTGGCGCGAGCGTGGTTGTGCTCCCAGCGGAGCCAGAAGGGCTTCAGGAACAACAGAATCGGGACTTGGATGACGGCCAACAGCAGGAGGAAGACCTGGACAGTGGCCTGCCCGGGGTAGAGCTGCGCACCGTCCTCGAGCTTGCCGGGCTGCAGGAACATGTAGATCAACATGTTCAACAGTCCAGGAGGGTTGCGGGGGTTCTGAGGGTCGCTCCAGTTGACGGACCACTTGTAGAGAATACACATGACGAGGTAGCCAAAGATGGACTGGAAGAAGATCATGCCAGGGACGAAGTTGCCCCAGATATCCACCGGCTTCTTGAAGTGCTTGGCGTTGACGTAGGCGAATATAAGGGAGTAGGTCATGTGGGCCCAACCCAGAACGATACTCATCTTCATCTTGTAACTGTTGCTGAAGAGAAGGTCGTTGTCTGTCTCATGCCATCTCCAGTCCAGACCGAAGGGGTAGCGGTAACCGTGGTCATTGAGCTTACCAGTCAGAGTCTGAGGAGGCTTGTAGTCGTCGGGAACATCCCACTTCCAGGCACTGTCGAACAGCGTCAAAGACT